TAACCATATCAATACTTATCCTCATTTGTTATTAATTATGACAGATGTTTGTCACTCTCACACTCTCTCACTGGGACACGGTAATGACCAAACACCCAACTCATTTTTATTCAACACCCAAAGCACCAATCTCCTCCTGCGACCAATGTTTACTCTTAGTTCTACTAAAAGTTTATTCACACTGTGCATGGCAATCCTCCTCGAGATCACAGCATATCAGATTTCGTTTTCGCAACACCTCACTCAGAAGTGGTTCTCTTCTCACGGAATTTCTCAGGCAGGCTTCTTTATGCCTTGCATCATCTCCCTCGTCTATAATTAAGTGTGTTCCAATATTCATACAAAAAATAATGCAGTTGTTCACTGCTTCCCGGTTCGAAGTCTTTGTGTCCCACGGAAGGATGGACTGTCCGCATCCCCTACTAAGCTCACTGTGATGTGGAAAGCAGGATGCATACAAGTCTAATAATGCTCCAGTTGTCAGATGATTGGCTAGGGCTAATCAAAGTTGCAGTGAATAGATTAAGCTCGGTATTTTATTGCGATGGAAATATTTACGGTGACGAACAATGAGCACTGGACAGCTGTTTGGGACTTGTCAGCAGTGAGCAGTGTCCCTGTCACGACCATCCAGAATACCGGGTGCCTCTGCAAAATTGAATGGGTTAATCCAAACGTGATACACTAAACTGACTGAAGCGTTCACACAAGGTGATCACCATCGACCTTGTAGCTCAGGGGTAAGGGCTTGAAGTCCCGATGCGAATCCTGATTGGAAACCAAAAGGTTTGCATTGCTGACGAGTCTCAAATAGGACAAAACAGCTGTCCGCTGCGCTTTGTCGGTCATCACAAATATTTCCATCGTGAGTGAATGTGTTCGACTAGTAGGGAACTGGCGATCTCCCAAGGAGTGAAACCCACACCCAAGAATTTCAAGAGTGTAAACGCTTACCGAAAATAGCCTTGTACGGTTACTCACAAACAAAAGAGAATCAACGAGTGAAGTTCGTCTTTACCCTGGACTATGAAATGCACCTCAGTTTGTAAGTACTTTATCCCTGTTGAAATGTACTTCGTGATGGTTTGAGTGTATAGGTGTTTTAACTGGAGCGTAAGCTTCTGAGCTTGAACAAGTGATATACAATACCGAGCAAACAGCTAAATCACTCGAAGATTTCACTACCCAGGAAATTCACAAATTTCGCGATATTAAGTATATCGACCAGGAAGTGGGAACAATTATTATAAAATATGCGATCCATTGTGGACAGAAGAGTTCTGTGGAGAGAACAAGAGCAAACTCACTACTTGAAAGCACGTTCACAGACTTCTTGATAACAGTTTTCACACCATTGTTCAATTTGACATCGTACATCCCACAAGAGAGATTCACAAATGATGCACCACCCACCGGTTGTGTGACGGCCAACTCATGTTTTCCCTTACCAGGTACGAATGAAATATTGTCTCCGGTGCTTTTGGACGGGACCGCAATTACTTTATGACTTTTGTATGTCGGAGATGGAATTTCCCAGTACAAATCGATCCTCGCATTCGAACCGGTCGTGTTGAGAATCGCTTTACCAAAAAAATGAATTTGCGGACATTAATTGATCATCATGTAGCACAGCTTGCTATACAATGCACACTGCGCACACATCGAAGCGAAACTGTAAAATATATCAAGTGACAAATGCGAATGCAATACGGGCACAGTCAAAAATGCCAAGGACGGAACTGTAGGATTTAAGTGAACAACATAAACATTTGAAGCATTGGGTTCCTCTTATCCATTTCGTGAAAACAGAAAGAAGACAAATATCGTGAGATGTTAAAATTTAGTTTTATCTTCTCAGTCGCTGAACTAAAACAAACAAGCACATATATAGCGCATGGGATTAATCATTGATGATGAACGAACGTGTACAAGCATAGAAAGATTACTAAACTCAGAAGTGGCAGGTCAACTCCACAGTAAATGGATTGATGGTATCAAAAACGTTTGTGCTCACAAGGTCGGCTGATTTAATATTTAATAAATCAGTAATACTTCATTAATTGGCAAACATTTAGTATTGCGATTACGCGAAAGTGGTTTGAAAGAACAATTAGGGTCAACTGTGTGACTTGTTGCGAAGATATATTTTGCAGCAGATGACCCTGGATTTCTTGTAACCACGTGGTCATCAATTATCGGTTACGTCATCGACTTCATCGATCACTTTGGAATATGCTCGGCCAGCTGTGGTGACAAGTGACTGTTTGTTCTGTCTGTATATGATTGTACACGTTCGTTCATCATCAATGATTAATCTCATGTGCTATATATGTGCTTGTTTGTTTTAAGTCAGCGACTGAGAGAATTCAACGAAATGTTAACCTCTCGCGACATTTGTATTCTATTTGTATTGACGAAATCAATAACTTAGGCCAATTCAGGTACACATAATTCGTAAACACATGTTTATACAATCTGCGTAAGATCAGTTCGCTGTAGGTACACACAGATATACTGCAGTTAAATACAGCATTATTATTACTAGTTAATCGGAAATAACGGCAACACCGGCACAAACCGAAACTCAGGTAAAATTCAGTATGAACATGAACCACGGTATTGAAATGATTCGGAATACAACGTGCATTAACCCCAATTTCGCTTCCGTAATCACAAACGAAAATATTGTGGTGCGATTGGTTAACCCTAATCAGTGTGCCACTAACTCGGTCCAAACCAAACAACCACCGGGTCAGATGATTCCACGGGAAGTCGGATGTTGTCAGGGAGCGACACAATCAAGTCACACGAGGCACAAACCAAAGTATCATTCGCGATACGCTCCGTCCGACTTGTGATCGGTTTCTCCAGCACAATTTTCTCCCCCTTTTTCAAAGTGATCACGAATGCGGAGCCCAGACACGGATCGTTTGCACTCAAGTCCACTGACAATACTCTCCCATTATCGACCACACTGGTTCTCACCAAAATTTTGTTGTCTGTCAATGAAAAGCAAGGGAGTAAATGCACAATCGCATCGTGATGAACAGTTTGCATCATACATTTCATCTTGGTAAATATTGGTTATGCAATCGTCCGTCCAATAATCACTGCACAGAAAAGCAAGGGGCAACAGAAGGTAAATGTATTATCATAGCTTTTTCGCTCTTCCGAGAAAAGGAATCTAATTCGTTGTTTCGTTCACGGCGTGAACACCATCGACATTGATCGTTATTTTATACATATTTTTTGCATAGGATAGCTACCCTTAACTCTTTGACCTGTTCCTATACTGGAACTGGGTACATTTTCTCCACTACTACGGTCGAATCTGATCGATTTCCTGAACATCACCTCGTTTGGTTGCGGACGAGAACAACTCAGACAATCACGAGCGCGGTGTGTTCGTATCTCGTCGGGTCAGCTCACTCGGTGGTGTTCCGACCGAATTACAAGGCTCGATGTGGCAAGCTTTGTCACGGCTGAAGCCGTAAATGTTCGGACTCACTACAGCCCCTGTTGTCTGTCCAGAAGAAATTGTTGCAATCCCTGGCTCACCCTGACTCCCTTCAGATACCCCAACACGTGTACAACCACTTAAACTTTGGTTCGTGTGATCAACTTCACACGATCACACACATTCACACACTTCGGGAGCCACAGCTGAACCACAAGGACTCGAGTTACCCATTCCGTTTCGCTCCTGTTGTTCGTCCTGCCTAATGTTATGTAATGGCATGATTATAAATAAATGAGAATGAGCCGAGCCATTATTCTCAAGGTGTTCTGTGAGGCTAATCTGAATTGCCATTCAATCAATGTATTCCACTGGTGGTAGTTTATTGAGGATTATTGAATTACGGAATGGGTTTCCCAATGCGGTCACCATGTATTTTTGCTCCCATTCATTTTAGATGGTCATATATTCTGTGGCCCGGTGATAACGCCAGTTCAAAAGACGTGTTTCGAATCCCAAAACCGCCGCCTGTCTTTACCCTATAGGTGTTGTACGGCAACCCTTTGATTGGTCTCTTCCCTCTTCATGAAAAATGTATCGATGTAAACTCAATCAAAGGAAGTAAAATGAGAAAAAATGTCATTGTCGTTTGAAATAAGACGTTGTGATTGACGCGTCTTTTGTGTGCGTACCGAATTGACGAATACTGTCTTGCAGTTTCCCAGCACAGTAAATAATTGCATCGTCTCTTCCGTTCTCTTTCACAACCTGACACGTGTCCTCCAGTACAATATTATTTTCATTTGAATGAGAACTTGACTGTTATTTCCATAGTTACTGCATTCCGATAGACCGCTTGCAATGAGACCACTTCGCAGGGACAGTCTAATTGATTTCACGGTGAAAACCGAGTTTTTCTCTCTCTATAGATTGTGTCTATCATTGCTGTTATCTTCATTGAAAAAAACCCTTCGGACTTTCGTGAGCATTTACGAGGAGTGTGTGGACAGCTTGACTTTGATACCTACTTTTCTGCATTTCTGCATCACGCAAATAATGAACCAACTGATAACGACATCGTTTACCTGATCAAATGTTTAAAGAATGTACAAAGCGTCCTTGGCAGACTTTCAAGTTCTGTGCCTTCATTCACTAGGCGCTTTGCATCTTCAAAATGCAAAGTGATGCTACAAGGCTGTTGTCTAGACCAGCGTTGATGTTTGATGGTTAAGAATTAGCTGTGGTGGAAGTTTTCTCCTGCTAAAGTAGCTGCGTGACAAAGGACGCTAACACATTCAGTGAAGCAACCGACTGCATTTACGAGGCTTGAGTAGCTTACGCAGGACGTAAACACGCGATGTTTCGTTGAAACTGAAGGGTCGTGTTTACCGCACTAGCATGCGTTCAGTTCTGCTTCATGGTTGCGAGACCATAAATTTGCGCGTAGAAGATATTCGTCGTCTAGAAGTCTTGGACTTCTAATGTTTACGTGGTTTGGAGGCGGTTGGATGTTGCGAGCGTGTGAGCAACTCTGAGATAAGGCGTCACGTATTTGGTAACGATTCGATAGAGAATTCGTTGTCATATATAATTCAGTTGAGTCGGCTTCACCGGTTAGGACATGCATTGCGAATGACCAGATATCGTCTATCGCACCGTGCCTTATTCGCAATTGCGGCTCCAGGTTGGAATAAATTGCGCGGAGGTCAACAGATGAAGTAGAAACGAGGCATACAGAACCGCACTGAGAGATTAGGTAGAGTAGGTGTCTCCCGTTTTCCAGGTTGGGGTCCAAAAGGCTCTGGAACCGGTTGGTTGATGACACTGAGGGATATGGCCATTACCTGACAGCAGCGACGTTCTTTTTGTCACTTTTTATCGATTCAGAATGCTTTAATAGGTATCCATGCGTAGCTAGATTGTGCACGATGTGTATTGACCACAGAGGTTCACTTTCTTCGACTCCCACCAACTAGGCCCAATCGCTCTCCATCTTGTGCTTATCACTTGATTTATGTAAGCTTGGTAACGATCAGCGAAGTTCACTTCATTGCATCTCGCTGTACGATAACCAGGATAATCAGTTTAATTTTGTCCTGGTGACTAGATTTGACATTCGATTGAAAACGAAAAAAGATTCGTTAAACATGCGTTTCTGGTGAAAGCATTCTCAGACAAAATCCCCAAGCCAAATAAGTCCAAGGATTCAAAGTTGAATCAAAAACATTAAAGACACACAATTGCCACTTACGCAACCGAGGCGGCGTAGCACTAATCAGAAGCAAAAATAACATCGACGAATAAAGGAACACAGAGCAGAGCTCCGAATTCCAGGAGAAAATAGAAGCGACTCACGAGTTGATCGCACGGTCACCGTCGTTTTGGTGATTGTAGTCACGCCTGCGTTCAATTTCACATCGTA